GTTCGTTCCACTCCTCTCAAAAGGTGCAGTAGAGCTTGCCAAACCGGGTAGACGGGACGAAAACATCTCCCTCTCGGCGCTTACCCTACACCTGCAACCCCAAAACCCGAAACCCCCCACTCCCCCAAAATGCTCCGAGAACCCTGAGTGTCGGTCATTCGGCTTTCCAGGTACAGCAAGACATCTCGCTTGCAGTCATTCAGCAAGAAGGCTTCGTCCTCAGTTGGTGTTTAGGACTTGGGGTTCAGGGTTTGGGTTTATGTACATGTTTCAAGTGCAGGGCAAGAGGATGCAAAACAGGGAGCCGCAGGTTGAGCAGCATGAAAAGTCCGCTTAACACTCGGTTAATTTGCAGCAGACACCATGCACGGACTTCACAACACTTCGTTCAGACCATCACTGCAGCACCAGAACACCACATGAATCTGCAGATCACTCAACACGCCACTCGACACTCAATCGTCGCAGCATGCTCAGATTTAAGTGGGTCATGATGGAATCAGGCCAAGACACACGTGCCCAGCTCTCATTGTGGTAAATTTCATTTTGCACATCACATGCTGCGATTATCAAAAACTGACATGCGCAGCTTATTCCAGACGGACGTCGCTCACAGCAACAATATCAAGCTGGGATCAAGCCGCGCATCGAATGCACGGCCTTCACAACACTTCGTTCAGACCATCACTGCAGCGTCAGTAAATCTGCAGATCACTCAACACGCCCCTCCACACTCAATCGTCGCAGCATGCTCAGATTTAAGTGGGTCTTGATGGAATCAGGCCAAGACACACGTGCCCAGCGCTCATTGTGGTAATTGCTGCGATTGTCAGAAACTGACATGCACAGCTTATGCCAGACGGACGTCGCTCAGAGCAACAGTATCAAGCTGGGATCATGCCATGCATCGAATGCACGGCCTTCACAACACTTCGTTCAGACCATCACTGCAGCGCCAGAATACGTAATTATGTAGATCACTCAACACGCCCCTCCACACTCAATCGTCGCAGCATGCTCAGATTTAAGTGGGTCATGATGGAATCAGGCCAAGACACACGTGCCCAGCGCTCATTGTGGTAATTGCTGCGATTGTCAGAAACTGACATGCACAGCTTATGCCAGACGGACGTCGCTCAGAGCAACAGTATCAAGCTGGGATCATGCCATGCATCGAATGCACGGCCTTCACAACACTTCGTTCAGACCATCACTGCAGCGCCAGAATACGTAATTATGTAGATCACTCAACACGCCACTCGACACTCAATCGCCGCAGCATGCTCAGATTTAAGTGGGTCATGATGGAATCAGGCCGAGACAGACGTGCCCAGCGCTCATTGTGGTAAATTTCATTTTGCACATCACATGCTGCGATTGACAAAGCTGACATGCACGGCTTATGCCAGACGGACGTTGCTCAGAGCAACAATATCAAGCTGGGATCATGCCATGCATCGAATGCACGGCCTTCACAACACTTCGTTCAGACCATCACTGCAGCGCCAGAATACGTAATTATGTAGATCACTCAACACGCCCCTCCACACTCATTCCTCGCAGCATGCTCAGATTTAAGTGGGTCATGATGGAATCAGGCCAAGACACACGTGCCCAGCGCTCATTGTGGTAAATTTCATTTTGCACATCACTTGCTGCGATTGTCAGAAACTGACATGCGCAGCTTATGCCAGACGGACGTCGCTCAGAGCAACAGTATCAAGCTGGGATCATGCCATGCATCGAATGCACGGCCTTCACAACACTTCGTTCAGACCATCACTGCAGCGCCAGAATACGTAATTATGTAGATCACTCAACACGCCCCTCCACACTCAATCGTCGCAGCATGCTCAGATTTAAGTGGGTCATGATGGAATCAGGCCAAGACACACGTGCCCAGCTCTCATTGTGGTAAATTTCATTTTGCACATCACTTGCTGCGATTGTCAAGAACTGACATGCGCAGCTTATTCCAGACGGACGTCGCTCAGAGCAACAATATCAAGCTGGGATCATGCCATGCATCGAATGCACGGCCTTCACAACACTTCGTTCAGACCATCACTGCAGCGCCAGAATACGTAATTATGTAGATCACTCAACACGCCACTCCACACCCATCGCCGCAGCATGCTCAGATTTAAGTGGGTCATGATGGAATCAGGCCGAGACACACGTGCCCAGCGCTCATTGTGGTAAATTTCATTTTGCACATCACTTGCTGCGATTGTCAGAAACTGACATGCGCAGCTTATGCCAGACGGACGTCGCTCAGAGCAACAATATCAAGCTGGGATCATGCCATGCATCGAATGCACGGCCTTCACAACACTTCGTTCAGACCATCACTGCAGCGCCAGAATACGTAATTATGTAGATCACTCAACACGCCCCTCCACACTCACTCGTCGCAGCATGCTCAGATTTAAGTGGGTCATGATGGAATCAGGCCAAGACACACGTGCCCAGCTCTCATTGTGGTAAATTTCATTTTGCACATCACTTGCTGCGATTGTCAAGAACTGACATGCGCAGCTTATTCCAGACGGACGTCGCTCAGAGCAACAATATCAAGCTGGGATCATGCCATGCATCGAATGCACGGCCTTCACAACACTTCGTTCAGACCATCACTGCAGCGCCAGAATACGTAATTATGTAGATCACTCAACACGCCACTCGACACCCAATCGCCGCAGCATGCTCAGATTTAAGTGGGTCATGATGGAATCAGGCCGAGACACACGTGCCCAGCTCTCATTGTGGTAAATTTCATTTTGCACATCACTTGCTGCGATTATCAAAACTGACATGCACAGCTTATGCCATACAGGCGTTGCTCAGAGCAACAATATCAAGCTGGGATCATGCCATGCATCGAATGCACGGCCTTCACAACACTTCGTTCAGACCATCACTGCAGCGCCAGAATACGTAATTATGTAGATCACTCAACACGCCCCTCCACACTCATTCGTCGCAGCATGCTCAGATTTAAGTGGGTCATGATGGAATCAGGCCAAGACACACGTGCCCAGCTTTCATTGTGGTAGATTTCATTTTGCACATCATCGCACATGAAACAGTTGTTACAAGAGGCTGGATTGATTTCTATGCCATAAACTGACACCCTGACTGCAATGCTAGAAATGCAAACAGCTGCTTAGATCCTTCAGCACACGACATCTCACAGCATGCTGAGATTTGTGGGGGTCTGGATGGATGGAAGCAGGCTCAAAGAGATTGCGATCAGGACTCCCTGTGGCAAAAAAATTGCACATTATTGCACAGCTACGCGAGGCACAACTAACCCAATATGAAGCAGGCTCGAGGAATGTAACAAACATCCTTGGAAGATTGCCGACGACAGGTTCCAGAGTTTGCAATTGCGATGTCCCACTATCTGACTGTAGAGTGGATTTTTATCGTCGTTCCATCATCCGATCCCGAACCCCAATCCAACAAACTTCGGGACATGAGCGCCCCGCGCAGCCAACGAGCAGCTTGTCCAACTCCTGCCTCCGCGTCAGATCTGGATTAGCGAATGTCAACTCTTTAGAGAGGGCCGACTCCAGGTTTACATCCTTCGGGTTTGGATGCTTAGGGTTTTGGGTTTAGAGTTTAGGAGTTTTTTAAGTAGTTTAGGGTTCAGGGTTCAGGGTTCAGGGTTTAGGGTTCAGGGTTTAGTGTTTAGGGTTCAGATATCTTCGAGTCCGCACCTCAACCCTAGACATGTAGTTGCAACTCGCAGCACCTGGTTCAAGTTGTCACGAGCGCACATGCAGACTTTAATTCAACGCCAAGGACCTGTTCCAAAACCCTAGACCCAGAATCCATTACAACACTGATTGGTACAAGCCATGGCTGTCAAAATTCTGACTGAACCCTGAACCTTAAACCCTAAACCCATCACTTCTACCCAGCCTTGGCAATTGCGTACCGGCTGTCATGGATGCTGTCACCTCGGGAGGGAGTGGCTCACATGTGGCGAAGGAGTGCATTGGGTTTAAACCAGTCTTCGGGCTCGCTCCCCAGTGGGTTAGTACAGGGGCCCTAATAGAATAGGCTTTGGGGATGCAAAACACTATAACTGGTAATTATAGGGAACCCCCCAAAATAGTGTAGGTACTTATTGAGGCCCCTTTTTTGTGGGTTTCAAGTCTAGGGTTTGTGTGTTGAAGGTTTCGGGTTTCGAGTTTCTCATCGCGTGTCCTGCATCGTAAACCTACACCCTTTAATCATCCGTAAGAACCGGCACAAGGCCCACGGAACACGTATCGAAACCATGCATGTTAACACGAGACTTAAGCCTTATGACTTGCGTTCTGGTGACCTTCGATGACATGCGCGAAAGGCATTGAGCCCAGGGCAGTTGAGGCTCAGGTTTAGGTTTTGAGGTTGAGGGCCTATCGTTTCGAGACCACAGAGTTCTAGAAGTCGCGGCTTGGCGATATCTCGGCTGAAAGATGCCCTCTAGATCCCAAGCTCCGTAAACGTTAAACCCTTTAGGGTTCACACTTTAGGGCTTAAGCATGAACCCCAAACCCCAAACCCCAGAGACGCGCATTTCCACGCTCTCGTTGGAACCGAAACGGCCGCGGGATCTGCATCCCCGGCTCTGAGGACAGATTCCACAATGAGAGTGCGACTCTCTTTTTGGGTGGATATGCTTGCAGGCCTTAAACCGACACATCGTAAGTACCTGAAACGAGATCCTCTGCAGACACTGACTGAGTACCCTCCAATCGCCACACTCTCACTGCGTCAACTCAGTTGTTGCTTTATGATGATGCAAGCTTCTAGAAGACGTCTACGTTTCAATTGGCAAGTCTGAGACAAAAAGACTCCACATCTGATCCACCCTGCCTGCCAACACGCACCGTACCACAGCAGTGTAGTCGGGTCCGAGGAGTTCGGTTTGAGGGCATTACACCCTGCCCGGACACCATCCCAATTGTGCCGTACCACAGCAGTGAATGGGATGTGGCCCTGTGGTCTCACGACTTCGGCTTGCCGGCATCAAGGAGCTCCGCATCATCGTCTTCAATGTCTTGAGCGGCATCTGCTTCTAGCAACTCGTGGGCTTTCTTTTTCCAGATATTCATCGCAGATAAATCCACAAAGTTCTGCAATGCTGCCATCTCTGAAATTGACAGGGCCAGCGAGGTATTGCCGTCTCCTGAGCTTCCTGAGCCAACAAGGGCGTCAGAAATCTTGATCTGGTAGTGTGCGAGCAAGATGTCGTACGTATCATCCATCTTTCGCAGAGTCAAAATTTTCATAATGTACACATATTCCAACTTGCCATCGACCAGCTTCCAATCGAAAACACCCTCTGCATTCTTTTTCATGAGCTGTGCTCTTCGAACGGCGTTGACGATTTTTGGTGGAATGCCGTCCGTCTCCAACGACTCAGTCAGTTCTTTGAATGCTTTGCCGGTCACTTCTACGAAATGCTTGATGTCACCGGTTCCTTCAAGATACGTTGCCTTGATATCGACGTCTTCATCTTTCAGAGACTTGAGCCCGTTGCTGACTTGTGCTTGTCCGAACTGCTTAATGCACCACTGAATCAAGCGCTTTGAGCACTGAGCTGTGATTCCACGAACAGCCTTGAAAGCCCGAGACAAGTGGTCATGAGGCGGGATGAAAACCCGAAGCTCCCCACGGTCTTTTTCTGGAATGGAGAGGAACCTCTTGAAACTATCGGCGTCATGTACCTGAATGACTCCAGATCGTATTCGGCCCTCATGTGCGCAACGACATATCCTTCCACACCCTGCAAGTTTTGGATGTGAGCCTCGAGTGAATCATGCTTCGATGGCTCCCAGTAGCTTGTCCCAACATGCTGCGGGGTCTTCACAACGATCTTCACCTGGCCAATTTGATTGACTTGCTCACGTTCTGGAAGAAGATTCAACACAGAAGTGAACAGCTTCTTGGCAGCATATGCCTCCGTCCAAAGACTGGAGCACCGGTGCTGCGGCTTCCACGACACTCTTGGTAGCATGATGCTGCGCATGGCTGTGGAAGGTATCATCCGGCAGGTTCGAGTCAGCATGATGGGAGTCTTCGGGAGACCCGGGAAAGGACAAACGAGCCTTGAGCAACAACTGACAGACGCGAAACATCCTTCGCGTCAGAGGGGGCTCCAAAGCAACTTCTGGTGAACCTGGAAGACTGCTTCTGGAAAAGACTCAACAGACACGTCCTCTGTGGCTTCAGGAACCCTAAACTCCCAAGCTCTGGGCCCTGCGATCCCCTACCGGTGCCCATCGGTTGAGGCTTGCACCGTGATTGCCATCACCGCGGTGTTGGGCAGGATGTCGGAGAAGTCGATTGTTGTAAGGTCCTGTAGGAGCCAACACAGCATCGTGTCTCTTCGACGGTTAGGCTTACAGGGTTTCGGACATGCGGCTTGCGGTGTAAGGTTGAGGGTTGATTTAGGGTTTGGGGTTTGGGGGTTGCGGTTGGGATTTAGAGTTTAGGGGTTGGGGGTTCGCTGTCTGGCTTGACAGAGTCAGTCTTGCAGACCTGAACAAAGAAAGCGGGCTGCCTGATTTTACTCGAAGCAGTACAAAGACCTGCATACTTCTGTTGACTTCGACATGAAAAACCCGCCGTCTGCATGCAGGAGCAGAGGCCCTTGCCTTGGTGTTGCCGATTCGCTGGACCACCTTCAGGGCTTGGTTTCTTGTTCTGTGACGGAGGTGGGCTTAGGGCTTTGGGGTCTTTCCGACTTCCCTAAAACCAAAACCCTAATTAAGATGTAGGGATATTCTAGGGTCTACATTGAGGGCTTCAAACAGGTGGAGGCTCAGGGCTTAGCCCTTCTAGGCTTTAGGGTCCAGGCTTTAGCTTTGGGCTGTTAACTTTAAGTAGGGTTCAGGGTCTACAATTCATGGTTAAGGCACGCTCAAGGACTTCAGGGGCTGAGAGTGTTAGGTATATAGCGGGAAGGGGGGTAAGGCTTCTAGGGTGCCCGGCGCCCTAAATCCAAAGAGCCCATTCTTCTCTGGATTTAAGCCATATTGTGCAAGCAACAAGCACCACTTCTTCGTGTTACAATTTCAGGAATATTCCTTCTATAAGTATTACGTAAGACGTAGACGGTTCCTTCCTATTGCAACTTCAGGAACACTTCAGGAACATGACATGTACAGTCTTTGAATGCAGCGTTTGGGCTTTGTGGGAACCCCATGACCCCAAATCGGCCTGCAAGTAGTCCAAAGGACTGGTCACGATGGACTCCAACCTGAGCTTACCAAGCTGGTGGCATGGCCGCAAAACAAGAGGCCGTAATAGAAAGAACAAGGTTGTTTTGGGGTATGTCGTCGTAGAGAAATAGAGGGACTGTACCGGGATACTATTGCAGACTATAGCGTCCCCTGTATTAGGCCAGTGGCCTGGGGTCTTGAATTGAAGACTTCGGGTAAAGGGTTTAGGGGTTCAGGGTTTCTGTGGTTTCGGGTGCCTTGGAGTTGCGAGTTTATATGGGAGTTTCCGAAAATAGGGGACCCTAATATAGTACCCTAAATTAGTAGGATCCTTATTCCAGAATAAGGTACCCCTAATTTCGGAAACTCCCATATAGGGTTCCGGCATTGTTTCTGGGTGTGGCGTAGTTGTTTTGTGAGTTGTATTCCCAACGTACATGTTGCACTCACGGTATTCCGAATAACCCCCACCTAACTGCCCCAGCTACACAATGCCCCAATATACCTCTGCTTCAGGTCGGCGTTGCAGGTTGAGCTTCGTGCATGCCTGCTCCTGCTGTTGGGTATCCGTCTTACACAGAGGTGGCGTTACATAGAAGTTGTGGACCTAAATCCCCGTGTGGTTTTGCTCAGTAGCTTCCCATGAAATTACCATAGTGAGGAAAGCACAGTTGCTTTTGTCTAGATACCCTGCGATCGCTGTCACGGGAAGTTGGACTAGGTCCGACCAGGTACCTTAACAAGAACCCCAAATCGGAAACGATGATGCTCACTGGGTGTCCGTGGAAAGGCATGGTCCTGGTTTCACATCTGCTGGTCACGTTGGCAAATTACGAGGTGCCCCAGCGTTTAGGAACAAGGCCAAGAGTCTACCACCACTACTACTACTACTACTACTACTACTACTACTACTACTACTACGACTACTACTACTATTACTACTACTACTACTACTACTACTACTACTACTACTACTACTACTACTACTACTACTACTACTACTACTACTACTACTACTACTACCCCTACTACTACTACTACTACTACTACTACTACTACTACTACTACTACTACTACCACTACTGCCCTTTGTCTAAGCTCCCAGCTCTGGGAACTTCTTGGAATAAATGTCTCGCACCTGGGAGCGCAACTCGAAAGGGGGTTCAGCTTCATAATTAGAATAGAGGGTTCCCTTTAAAGGGCTCTATATATATGAGGGATACTATAACAAGGGCTATTCTAAGGATATTATTTAAGGGCCTTAATATTTGGAATAGGGTTTTGGTGCCCAGGATCTATAAGGGCACTATAGTATAACTAAGCTGAGCCAGGTCGCTGTTGTAATCCGATGGTTGGGCTTTCTACCCGCACTGTCTCGGGTCCGGGATCTGAAACTGCCCGGCTTCGTTGGGGAAGGGGCTTGGATCATGCCCAGAAGCCTAAATGAAAGCTTTCTAAGACTATCCAGATGCGTGGCTATGCCTCTTCCTGTATCAGCTTGCCACCATCTTCAACAGTGCTGCACACCATTATGTGATTTGTTGGTTGCTCTACAGCTTCGCGATCACAACCACTGTCTTGGCCATCATAGCCGCTACAACCATCTACGCCAACATGGTCGTGATAACTACTGGTAGTCGTCAGCACCAGCATGAGCACCCTTAGTCCTGTGCCTGTGGTGTTCTTCTTCTTCATCACTATCGTCGTCATCGCCCAATTTCTCATAGTCGTCTCCAACGTGGTCATCAAAGTCTGAAACTTGTGGTTCGCTGGTCATCGTCAAATTAGGTCTCATCACCATAACCTTCAACGTCATCCATCTTTATCATCTCCTTCAAAATCATCTTGTTTCCACCCTGTGTTTGCTACTTTGGGCTGCTGAAGCTTCTCCTCCGAGCTGTGGCAAAACAAGCACCCGAAGACTGTTCCTCAATTACAACAGTCTTGGAAGTATGAATAGAGCTTCTTAATTCGGGACCCTCAATTATGGGAAAATGGACTCCCTGCTTGCGGCCCTCCGGCGAAACGATGGATGTTCATCATCTCGTCGTCAATCTCACGAACCAGAGAGTTACAGCCTCGGCACTCCGGAAGCTCACGGCGGGTTCCACACATCCTTACTTGTAGGGATTAGGGCTTCGGGTTCATGATTCTGATGTTGGTTGTGCTGCTATCTTGTTGTTGCTCCTACCATGTTGATTGTTGACCCCTCTGTCAATACAACAAAGCCACTCAAAACATCAGGCAAGCCCCCTCTAGTATCACTGATCTTTATTAATGCTTGATCCATACAAAAGCCCTAGTTTGAAAACCTGTGTGGCTCGCAGCTTGGAGCACAGAAGCACTGAAGCAGTGGCTTGTCCAACCGCAGCTCCACAGCCATCCAAACGCAGGGCTTGTGGAGGGTTTCAGGGTGTTGCGGTTTGGGGTTCTGGGCATAAGCTCCAACTCTGGCGGAATTCCTGCGTTTAATTTAAGGAAGGTAGACTTTCGTCTCGATGTTGAGTGAAGGGAAGCAGAGATGCGATGAAAGCTCCGAGCTTGATATCGACAGTAACCTGTGAAGTCCTGAGCTCGAAGACGATAAGACTTTCAACTAAAACCCCCCCAAATCCCCAGGACTTTGGAGCCCTGAAGCCGCAAAACTCCCTGAGATTCTCGGAATCCTCCGAACCCCAAGGCCCTAAGCATCTGGAAGCCGCAGACCCCAAAAGAAGCCTGGTTCACCAGACAAGGGGAAATCGTCAGCGCAACACAAACCACCAGATTCCAACAAAACCCGCTTAGCCCCTGAACTAGACACCAAAAAACCAGGAAAAACTTCACAGACGCCCTTCAACGCAAGGCCGAAAAGGGCGCCAAAGAGCGGGTGATGAGCGGGTACTCGGTATCTTCCTCGGAGAGCTGCTTCCCTGGCAAGGTAGGCGCTTTTAGGTTTCATGGGGTTTTGGGATTTAGAGTTTGGGGTTTAGGGTTTAGAGTTCCGGGTTTAGGGTCTGGCTTCAAATCAAAGTTCCTAGGTCCTAGAAGAGCTTTATGAGTTCATAGGATCTTTAGCCAATGTTAAGCTTCCATTAGGGGTTTATCGAGTTTATAAGGGTTCTATCAGAGTTGTATATGGTCGCTAAAAGGAT